GTTGTACAATCATGACCACAATAGATTTTAAAGCACTTCATCCACCCCACCCCCTAATGGTTCAATCACTTTTAAAATGAGCTGTGTCGTCATCCTCAGTTCTGGAGAGCCCTCTCTCTCCTCTCCCGCATACTATTCATACTTGAGTATAAACCGACCCCAATATCAGCCAAGGCACCTAATTTTACCACAGAAACTGCATTAGAAATATGCTGAAAAACTCAGCTTATGCACAAGGAGATATTGTATATTGTTTGCCCCAAGCCCCCTCCCCCCCACTGCCTCCTACCCCACCCCTACCTCCCCTATAAACGCTTGCATCAGTTCTTCTTATCTCTGTGCCTCTACTCTGTGCTTCACAAACTGGAAAACCTAACAGAAGCAGTTAAAAAAAAACAGAAAAGAAAATAAAGCATAGAATAATAATACAGTCATAAAAATGCAAATAGTGAATCAGAAAAGACCACTGTGACTAAGAGGCCAGAGAATAAATTTTGTCATGGAACAAGCAAGTGATACTCCTAGAAGAATCTCATGGGGATCTGCCCGTGGCTTAATCTGACTAGATCCTCTGCAGATGGGTTTGGGGCTCCTACTGTCCTCCACAGCCTTCTACCAATTGGGTGTTCGCAATTTAGGCTCTGATACTTTTCCCTTTGTCATATTTGACTTTTGTACTTGTCATCTTTGGATCACACAAGCTGGTGTGCTGCTTCCATGTGGACTTAGTTGACTCCTAGCTTAGATGGCTGCGTATTTGAAGACAAGCCTCTAAGACCCCAGACACTATTTCAATTGATAGCCGGGCACCATCTGCTTTCTTCACCACACTTTGTTGGAGCACCCTTATTTTCAGTGATCCTTTCATTCAGGTGAGGATCGAGCAGAGCCATATGATCAGAACTACCTGTTCTTGGATTGGGGCTAGAGTTCAATGGGAGCCCAGGATCCATTGACTTGTCTTGGCTGTGATCTTTATGGGAGCAGACCCCAAGATCTTCCTCCTGCAGAGCTGCTGGATCGTTTCGAACCACCAATTTGCCAGTTGGCAGTGGAGTACTTCGCTGTTTGCACCAGGGGTTCCTTGGTCATAATATATAAAAAGTGATTAATGAGATATTTTACACTTCTTAAAAATACACAGTGTATGAGGGGCCCTCACAACATTTGTGGGGAAATTCTATGATCTTTTAATCCCATTTTCCCATGAGCTTCCTGAAGCCCCCTCATGTATGTTACCTTCACAGTCAGGGGTGGATTAACCAGTAACCATGTACATACTGGTTTGCATTAAGCAAGATACACATGGCTTCAGGGCTTAATTGTGTTTACTTGTTAATCGGTGGTGAGCAATTTTACAAGGTCCCATTTTTGATGTGGTGAAATTTTGTGCTGCAGAGAGATGGGAAGGCACCACTGCGCTCCTGCAAACACACCTTGCTTATTGGGTAATCCGACCCTGCTACAGCTCATCTCAGTTCACACCAGTAGCCATTAGCTTCTGTAGAGGTGAAGCCGCGGTAGAAAACTGAGACTAATCCTAGCACTTGGACCCGCTCCTCCTGGTGTGGGCCACGGAGAAAAAACTAGGATATGTCTGGCTCTGAAATGCTCTGCCACTTTTAAGGTTCCCCTTTGAGTTTATAGCAGGGGAGCCCCGCTGCTGATAGGGACAGTCCAGTAAGGGTCACTCTTGTTCCTGACAACAGCGACGCACAGAACCTCTTAGAAGCAGCCAGCAGCGGAGCTGCTGTGTCCATAAGGATCGTTGCCAACATCGCCGCCAACCTGATTGCGTTCCTGGCGGTGCTGGCCTTCATCAATGCTGCCCTCTCCTGGCTAGGGGACATGGTGGACATCCAGGACCTCAGCTTCCAGGTAGGGTCCCCGGGAGCCCACCTCGGCCTGTGAGAGGCTGGTCCGGGTGGTAGCATGGACCGTGGCCTGGGGCACCCCACCTGAGCGAGCACCTTGGCGTCTGAGCCCCAACAGCCCTCGGCTCCAGCCCCTCTTTTCGCCCCCCCAACCCCAGCTCATCTGCTCCTACATCCTGCGGCCTGTGGCCTTCATGATGGGCGTGGCCTGGGAGGACTGCCCCGTGGTGGCCCAGCTGCTCGGGATGAAGCTGTTTCTGAACGAGTTCGTGGCCTACCAGGAACTCTCGCAGTACAAGCAGCGCCGCCTCGCAGGGGCCGAGGAGTGGGTCGGCGACCAGAAGCAGTGGATCTCCGTGAGTGTCCCTGGGGGATGACACAGCTACTGCTGAGGCCCCCCAGCTCCTAGGACCTGCCTGAGACACACTGGGGGTGGGGGGTGTCTCACGGAACCTCCCACTTCCTGTTGCCCTGGGAGATAAGATGGGTGGAGGATTTGCCTCTTAAGAGGCTGAAGCAGGAAAGAGGTATCTGAGATCTAGCGCTGGATGAGAGATGGACCAGCCGCTCACTGCGCCTCATCGCCTCTATTGGGAAACGGGGCAATCCCGCCAGACCCACTCTCAGGGAGGCATCCAGTGAGCTGGAGAGTGGACCGCTGTGGAGATTCAGTTCCTGGCTGGCTCGTCTGCCAAGTTTACGTTTTAAAAGCTAGAGAGATGCTACAGCAATTACTTTTCTAAAGTAACTTCTACGTTGACGTTCCCCAGAATTTAGAGGAGAAAAAAGTTAGCTGCAATCTCACCGTCTTAAAAGAACCACTAGTTCTTTAAAATGCATTAGACAAATGCATTTTCTTCCCATTTTATAAAGAATTACCTACTTGTCATCAGAGAATCCACATTGTAGGGTAGCCAGCTCCCCGGCCCCGGCCCTGCATGTAATGGTACGACATTAGCACCATTTCCCATAGGTGTATGCTATTCAACCCATGCCTGGTTATTGAGACAGTCGGTGCAAGCCCAGCATTTGACTGTTATGCACGATCGAGGTTCAACTGGACATCTCTGCACCTAGAACTTTCTGCTCCTCTTGGGTCATTTCCTTAGGAGCCTTCCCAGATGTGGGATGGGTGATCACACGGCATGGATCCTGGTGTGGCTACTGTCAATAATGTTCCCAAAGGGTTGTAGCGGCTGACCTCGCCACCAGCTTAACAGCATTGAGTACGCTCATAAAAAAAAAAAAAGAAAAAGTTTTGCTACTTTAATGGACAACTTATGGCTCATTGTTTGAATGTCTACTTTTAAATCTCCTGTCTTTTAAATTATTCTTTTAAATCACAATGAAATATACTCTTTAATTGAAAAAAAATTTTTCAATATGAAGTAAAACAAATGTTCCCTCTCCCCTTGGCCTCCCCTGTGGTCTCCCCCTTCCTCAGAGGTGCCGGAAGGTACCCCTCCTCCTTCTTTCCTCTCCTTTTTTTCTTTTTTAAACAGATTTTATTCCTGGAGCAGTATTTGTCGAGGTGTTTTTAGGTCCCAGGCACCATAAGGTTAAGGAGGGAAATAAGACGTCACATGCCCAGCCTCATGGAACTTACAGCTAGTGAGTGATGTAGGCAAACCCAAAGAAAGCAAGGGATAAATAGAATAGCCACGTAGCCACACATCGTGATACAATTGTCTGAGGAAAACAAGAAAAAACCAGGAGAGGCCTCCGTTGGCTGGGCTGGTCAGGAAAGTCTTCCCTGAGGTGCAGCTTTGAGGCCAAGACTTGGGGCGAAGAGAAGGAGCCAGCCCAGGGAAGCCGGGAAGGAATATTCCAGACTGAGGAAGCGATTCATGTGAGAGTCCTGAGCTGTCTACCGAGAAGTGAGAGAAAGTTTCGGCTGAGTAATCGCAAGAGAGAACAGTTTTGGATTACCCAATAGCAAGGTAAGCACAGGCTTAGTTGTGTTTACTTGCTAATCTGTAGCGACCAATTTCACATGGGTTTTACCATGTCTTGGTGGTGGGAGGAAAAGAAAAAGAAAACGTGACATTGTTCACTACAGATTAGTAAACAAGCACGAGAAAGCCCAGGCTTACCTTGCTGATGGGGTCACTTACCTCTACAGGAGAGAGTGGCACAGGCCAAGAAGCAATAGGCAGGCCCTGAAGGTTTGACATTTTAGTTTAAGGAAAGCACTTGTATGGAGAGTAATTAAACCAAACCAAACGCTGCCATCGAGTCCGTTCTGGTTCATGGCCACCTACCTGTAGGGCCTGCGGCAGAAAACCCAAACCAACAGCAGCTGAAGCAACATCGTTTATTTCAGGTAAACAAAACCCCGAAGGAGTAAACAGAACTCCGGGGTCAGACCACCTATCTATGTAAACAGTTCAAGCCCAAACCAAACTCGCTGCCAATGAGTCCATTCCAACCCGCAGGGACCTGGAAGGACACAAACCCTGAGGGCTTCCCAGACTTGTCACTCTTTACGGAAGCAGAAAATTCCGGTCTTTCTCCCATGAAAGAGTGGTGGTTTTGAACTACTGACCTTGCGGATAGCGGTCCAACGTGTAATCACTACGCCACCAGGGCTCCCACAGACAGTGATCACAGGGGGACGAACAGAGACGTGGTCCTTAAAAGGTTTCTATCCATTTGTTTAAATGCTTATTTTAAAGGCATGAACCCTTTTCTATTGTATTTTCCTTACGTGTCTTTCCTAGTCGTTTATTTTTCTTTGCTCTATTTTCATTTTGTGTACCCAAAAATCTCACTGCCACTGAGTCTGAGTGTAACTCCGAAGGCTGGTAATTAGGTTGAGGGTTGAAGGGCAGATGCCAGAGTGGGCCGAGTGAGGTGACATAAGGTGACACAGTTGTGAGGCCTGGGAGGGGTTAGCACAGAGGGCTTTATCAAGAGCACATCCACCTGACAGGTAGCTAGATTAGGGGTAAAGGGGGTTGTCTGCACCGAATGCCTACCCGAAATGAAAATTAGCTGGCACTGCCACAATAAAGGAATCAGGCACACTAATTAGACACCTGTGGAAAAATCCAAACTGGGCATGCGCAGACCCAGGCCACCTAGGCCCAGGCGGAAGCCAACCTGGGCACACCCACATTAGGCACAAGCGATATGACATCACACAGGTATGCCTAAGCTGAGCCGATAAGATTGGCTAATACCCTCAGCCACGCCTCCCCAGCCAGTGGGGATAGGAGGGGATAAATACTAGGCTGAGGGCAAGCCACTCCCTCTTCTTCTGGTGTTCTTGCAGGGGGAGGGGGAAGGGGAGGGGGAAAGGGAGGGCAGGGGAGGGAAAGGGGGAGTAGGGCTTGGACTCTCTCATGCTCCCAGCCCACCCCCTTTCTCAGGCTTTGCCCTCTCTCCCTTGCTCCGCACTCTGGATTCCTGTTCCTGTTCCCGTAACTTCTTCCATGTGTTTTTCCATGTTCCCTAAAGTAGCTGGAGTGGCCATTTTCAGTCTTGAACTCTTGCACGGTCTGCGCGGCCTGCACGCTTTTCAGATATAGCGTGTACCTTTGATACTGCAATACCTGAAACTTCTCTTTCCCTCATAAAAGTTGGATTTACAAAAGTGCTTCTGCCGCATGAATTTGGTTCAGCGTCGAGAAGCAAGAACCGAGGTAAACCACTCCAGAAACCTAACAAACCCACCCAGCCGAGCCCACTGCCGGCAGATCCATTCTAACTGTATCGGGTTTCTGAGACTTGACTATTTATAGGAGCAGACAGCCTCATCTTTCTTCCTCAGAGTGGCTGATGGGTTTGAACCACCCACCCTGCAGTTAACAGCCCAGCCCGATGCCCAACCCACAGCACCACCAGGACTCCCTAAGGACACAAGGGAAGGGGTAGCATTGCGAGGAGGGGTCTACGTGGTGGTGGATGCTCCCATGCTATCTGGGGGAAGCCTGCCCATTCTCTCTGTATTTTCAGGTCAGAGCGGAAATCCTCACAACGTTCGCCCTCTGTGGATTTGCCAACTTCAGCTCCATTGGGATCATGTTGGGAGGCCTCAGTGAGTCTTTTGGAGCATCTCCAGCCCCCTAGAGAGCCCCACAGGTAGTGTAGCTCACAGGTTGAGGCAGAGAACTAGCAGCCGCACCCTGGTCAGATCACCAGAGAGCAAGAGAGAGAAGTGGGACTCGCTGAACCATTGATGTCTTTGCCCTCCAATCAAATTGGCACCTTATTAATCCCACATGTTCCTTCCTATTGGCCAGGTTGGCACAATAAACCTACCTATCACATGGGGAGTGGGTGGGTGTCAATGCAGCCAAGTCTTCAGAGAGAAGGCTGGGAAGGGGCCCTGGGCCCTGAGTGCTCGCTCCCCTCTCTCGCAGCCTCCATGGCCCCCCAGCGGAAGAGCGACTTCTCCCAGATTGTGCTCCGGGCGCTCTTCACGGGGGCCTGCGTGTCCTTGATAAATGCCTGCGTGGCAGGTGAGTACAGCAGGCCTGGTCTGTGGCCACCCTGGATGCGGGGCTCTGGCCACTAGGGGACACCCTGGGGCGGGGCGCTGGGAGGCTAGACCCTGCCCTCGGGCTGTGTTGTCTCCATAGGGATTCTCTACGTGCCCAGGGGGGCTGAGGTGGACTGTGTGTCCCTTCTGAACACGACCCTCAGCAACAGTAGCTTTGAGGTGTACCAGTGCTGCCGCGAGCTCTTCCAGAGGTGAGGACCTGCCCAGGGGTGGGGGTGGGGGCGCCCAGCGGAACAGGGGGACGGCTAGGCACCAGGGCAGAGGTAGACGTGTTATGGCTGTAGTCGTGGAAGAAGCTGTGATGGGGAGGGGGACCGGGGGTCACAGAGCCAGGCCTGGAGCTCAGACCGCAGCGTTTGCTTTCCTTTCAGCACCAGCCCCTCCTTCGGTGCAGAGGCCCTGAGCAACTGCTGTGGATTTTACAACCACACCACCTGTGCTTAGCAGGTCCAGCACGCCTGCCCGCACCCTTCCCCTGTGCAGGCTCCTCCCCTGGGGGCCATCAGACTTGCCTGGGACACGTGTTGGGAAGGTGGTGGAGAGGGAATGAGCAGGCAGAGGGAGAGGAGGTGGTTGTACGAGTAAATGAGAGAAAAGCCCTGTTCTTGAACCCCTTTCTGCCCCCACGTTCGCTACCTCCCCAAATGTGACTTCTTGGGGGTCACTCAACCTCCACCTCTCATTTGCATATTTAAATAGCACCCTGATCTTCTCCAGTCTCTTTTCCCCCTAGGAGTGTCTCATATGCGCCTATTCCTTCTGTGGGGACCCCCCCACCCAGGGCTCCATCTCACCTGCCCTGTGGCCTTACCACCTACCCACCGCTCACCCCTCCTGTCACCCCATGCCCACCCTGGATCCTAGCAGCTCCCGAGGTTTCCCTGACAGACTATTTCTCCGGTGAATCCTCCCCCTACTTGCTGCGGCTCCCCTAACACTTCCCAAACTAGTATCGGTGGCACACTCCCACCAGGTAGAGGGCTTCCACGGGCACACGCGTTTGGACAGGGCTGGGCTAAATAAATGCAGTCACACATGTTTCTTCACTGCCGATTTGCCGAGGAGACCAGGCACTTTCTAAGTGCATTTGACCTTATTTGACCTCTCATTCCAAGGTTCCCCAGAATGCAATTTGGGCAATACTGATTAGAGTCCAAAGTGCTTGATTTCACATCATTGTAATGCCAGCAGAAGTCTCTACAGTTGAGGAACTGGAGGTCCAAAGAGGTTAAGTAACTTGCTGAAAATGAGGGTAGAGTCAGGATTTGAACCCAGGACACCTGTTCCCATAAGCCAGAGTGCGGATTCTCTACTAAGCTGCTAGAGTTCGAGGGGCTCTCCTGCCCTCCCAAGGGCTCTGCTCCTTGAGGTCCTGCTTCTGTTTCCCCAGTATGCCCTTTCTCCTCCTCCCGCCTATGCTGTTCCCTAGAACCTGTCACCGCAATGATTTGAGATATGCCCTGCCACTGTGGCCCTCAGCCAGCATTCCCAGTTTGGACCCAAGGCACGGGGAATATGGGAGGCCCTGCAATGACCTGTTTCGGCCTCAGTCAGCCAGGGTCCCACTTCTGCTCTTGAAGCACTTCAAGTCCACTGGGAGCTGGCCTTGCTCCTTGCGACTCCTGCATGCTGACCTGTAGTCCCTGTCCTCGAGGCGTGAGTCCTTTCCCTTAGAATAGAGCCTTGCCCTGACTCCCCTGCCCCTTAGCCAGCCCTTCCCTTGCTTTCTTCAATCCCCTACACAGCCCCTACCCCTGCTCCAAGTCCCTTGGGCTTTTAGCAGAAGGCCCTGCTGATGTGGACTACGGAACAGTCTCTTGTGATTGCTCTAAGCCCCTTCCCTGCCTCTCTGTTGACACCCAACTTCACCACCCAGCTCAGGACGGCACCTGGGCTCCCTGCATGCTAGTCACAAGGCCAGTGTGACTAGTCACAAGACTATAAACCCCTTCAAGCAAAGGCTCTGCCTCAGCATTCTCCCACACTACCTAGCACAGTGTGGGCCCATGAAGGTACTCACTACATGCTCGTGGGATTGAAGTGCAACATTTTGTCACTTCTCTCAAAGCCACCAGAATACATTCTGGGCTGTACACGTATCGAATTCTTTCGACTACAGCTGTTCTGATCGTGGGGACGGGCATGGAATTAAGAGGAGGCTTTCTACTGCAGTAAGAGTTCGTCTCAGACATCCCCAGAGGCAGTTGCATCCTGCCCTACAGAGCTGCTGCAAGTCAGAAGTGACTTGAACGGGAGTGACTTGGGTTTCGTATTTGTTTTTAAGTCATCTGAGCAGCTGACTCTCCCTCTCTCCACCACCCATTCCGCTCCTCCTTCCTCGCTTTGCACACCGAGAGGTTGGATGTGATTGCAGATATACCCTACCCAGAGAAAACTCTGAGACTGACATCAGATGCTCATGCTTAATTGGATCCATCTTGTTTGCAGTTTCCAAGTCAGGGCCCGCACAGATGCCTCCATGTATCCCTCCACTGCCATGGCAGGCATTCCTAATCAATCACAGCACTCCTCTCTGACTCCAGTAGGGGATTCTGAATACACGTGAACTCCGCGCTGGATGACTTAAGGTGACTTTCAGGCAAAAACTATCATCCTTGAGCTAAGCAATGGATCCTAAGAACCCAAACTGCCATTGATCTTATATTGCTGGTCTGCAAAGGTCTGTACATTTTGCCACGGAGTAGAAATTAATTGTAATGAGGAACAGAGTGGGCTCATCCCCGAGAATAAGGTCTCTATACGACACTCTGCTCTCCAGCTTTGTGTGTTCTCATTAAGAGACAATAGGTTTTCATTAAGAAGTGTACGTTGAGTTTTGATCAAGGAGCCTATAGAAAGATCCGGAGCAAAAGGGGGAGCAATACAGAACAGAATTTCAGAGTTTCATGGAATCCAGACTTTCTGGAGCCATGAAGGTTGGATGGGCTCCAGAAACTATTGCCCTGAGGTCATCTGTAAGCCTTCAATCAAATATACCCTCTGAGATCTTCTCTAAAGCAAACCACCGTTCAGTTTAACGAGTAAAGAATGTCAGCCTCGAGCAGTGTGCGCTGAGAACGACCTCGATGGGGTCGAATGGACGACAGCAGCCTGGAAGTTCAGATGAGTGTCAGCAGAGGGGCGGCCAGTCGCCTGTATCAGTAAAGGAGGGGGAGGATGGTTGCATGACTTGAGTAAAGTCGCATCACTGAATTGTCTCCGTAAACATGGAATTGGTTTCTGTGTGCTCTGTGTGCTTTCAACGACAATCAAATCTTTCCTAGTAATAATAAAAGGTACGTGAGCACCTACCATCTGCCACACCAGCACACCAGACTAGTGAGCTACAGACCTGGACTCTTCCTACAGAAGGGCCAGCGGGGAAGGGGACCCCACAGAGACTGGAGGAGGCTCCTGGGGCGGGTAACCTTGAGAGGAAGGAGAAAATGAGCTCTGGAAGGACACTTCGTGTCCATAGCATATATATTTTAAAAGAACACATTGTATTGGGGGCTCTTACAGCTCTTGAAACAATCCATACATCAATTGTATCAAGCACATTTGTTGCCATAATCATTTTCTAGACATTTACTTTCTATTGAGCCCTTGGTGTCAGCTCCTCTCCGCCCCCCCCCCTCCTGGCCCCTTGATAAATAATAAATTATTATTTTCATATCTTACACTGACTGCTGCAGTTTGCCCTGCAGTTTCTGTCGTCCGTCCCCCTTGGTGGGGGTGGGGTGTGGTTATGTGTCAATCACTGTGATCGGTTCCTCTTTTTTCCCCTCCTTCCCCTTCATAGCATATTAAAAAATGAAAATAGTGCCAGAATAGATCTTACAAACTCCAGTTTGGACTAAATGCCACATTTTTAACCCTGTAATAGTGAGTTATCCATGAGATATTGCCAGGCTTTTATTCCCCCTCCATACTAAAGCCCAATTTAATAACAACACATTTCATGTATGATTCTCTTTTGAGTTACTTCAACTAGTGAGGTGGTTTATGAGTTTGCACATTTTTAAAACACATGTTCTTTATCATTGGTATTTGGGTGGGCAGTTATTTATCTTTTAACCATTAATTTTAAATAAGGTTTCTTGCAGTGTATCCTTCTGGACATAAGGTAATACTAATCACTGTACAGGTTGGTTGGTTGGTTCATATGAAGGCTGGTGTTGAACTTCTTTCAGTCCGGTGACTGTGAAATTTGGAACTAAAAACCAAATTTGGAGACATAAGCAAATGTCTATATTGGAGCCCTTTGTGGATGTGAAATTCCTGTCCCTCACCCGCTGCCCCCTGACAGGGCCGACCACCAGCAAGGAGCCTGGAAAAGTAAGGTGACCAGATTTTAACATTGGTAAAGCAGAACACAATTGATAAAACTCATATCCTGGCAAAATAGCCACATGGCAGCCGAAAACCGTATACCCTAGCTTGTGGCGTATTCTTTCCAAAAATCGGGATTCTTTTAAAACGCCGTGGGATGCTGAAAAAATTGTTAATAATTGGGACTGTCTGGTCACCTTATGGATAAGGGATCACCCTGTAGAAAGGCCTGAATGTCCGGGGGTGTGGTGCAGAAGACCCTCCTGGACAGGGCTGTGATGGTGGCCCTCTGAGCTGACTGCAAGCCGGCCAAGAGAAGCCAGAGTGGGGTTGCCCTGCTTTCCAGATGTGGCCCGGCTAGCAGGAGAAAGACAGGAACAGCATGCTCTGTGGAGTGAGGTCATGAGCTCAGTGGGGTGAGGTCAGGACAGCAGCCCAGTGGTCAGCCAGGCCTCAGCCTCATGTCCAGGGAGCAAAGGGATCCATGTGGGTGTGGGTGGGGTCAAGAGAGCAGCCGAAAACAACCGAGTCTGTCGGAGGCATCCAACAGTCTGGCCATCCACGCAGCCGAGAGCAGCGCTCCTCCACCGTCTCTTCTGGAGACCTCCCCGTGTTCACCTGAGACGTTTGTGAAAAACAATCACAGTGAATTACCGGGAAAATAAAATGAGTTTTAAAGGGATACAAAATACAAGCCCCAATTCTAGACTCTTAGATTATTAAAGGCAACAGACAGTAAGCCTGTTGCCGTCAAGTCAACTCCAACTACTGGCAACACCAGGCCTTCCTTCTCAGGGGTCTCTGTGTGGATTTGAACCCACCAATCTTCCCATCAGTAGCTAAGCCCTTAACTATTTGCATCACCCAGGAACTCTATGCAAATATTCTAACAAGCACGAACAGATTGTAAACTATATGTGTTAGCGTGAGTTAACTAAAGAAACAAACTCATAGACACTTATGTGTATAAGAAAGAGCTTTATATGCAAGAGCAATTGAATATTGAGGACATAGCCCAGCCCAGTCCAGAACAAGTCCATACGTCCAATATTAGCTCATGTCTGATGCCAATCTATAATGTCCTCTTCAGACTCACAAAACACATGCAATGACACTGAATGCAGGAAGATCACAGGCCAGTGGGTGGGAAGTCTTGTGGATCCAGCAGCAGTGGCAGCATCTCAGCGCTGGCAGGGGTCTCCTTCAACGCCCAGGCTCTAGCATAGCTCCATGCATCTTCTCAACAAGAATGTCTCGCAGGGAGTGAGCAAGTGTCCCACCTCCAGCAAGCTATTTATCTCCTTAGTGCCTCCAAATGAGGTCATCAGACTATGACCTGATTGACAGGCTAAACTCCACCCCTTCACTCTTAAGTCTCAGATTGACAACAGATTATGTAACACCATACTAATCCATGGCCCATCCATTGAATATCTCTGCCCTATAGTATTGTTTAAGACTCCCTGGTGGTGTCACGGTTAAGTACCCAGCTGCTAAGAGACAGGTCAGTGATTTGCATCTACCAGCAGCTCTGTGGGAGGAACGACATTGCCGCCCGCTCCTGTAAATACTGCAGCCTGACGCCGTCCTATGGGGTCATGAGAATGAACAGCAGTCTTTACTGTTAATGAAAACTCTGCAGAATTGTGTGCTCAGACGGCTTGTCCTGCATCGCTCAGGGAAGCTGGGAAGAGGCAGAAGGGACTCCTGGACTAACGGCCTTTCATATGAGAGAATGCATGCAACATTAAACCGCGGGTTGCTACACCATATAGGGTCACAGACCTGAATGTGGGGGCTTGAAAGCTTTGGCAATAGTAAAAGGTTTCTGAATACTCAGTGACCAAAATTTTATTCAAAATCAACTGCACAATGAATGTGAGGTGTTTCTGGCAGCGCCAGTCTGCGCTGCACATTTCTTGGGTACAAGAGGATATGCGTGAAAAGGTTGAAGAGGTGCTGCCACCTAGAGGAAACCCACGGAGGTTCATGGAGTCAATCAGTAAACTGCATCTAGTCCCCCTTGGTGGTCTAGTGGTTGCACTTTGGGCTGCAATCCGCATGGTTGGCAGTCCTAAACCAGCAGCCGCTCTGTGGGAGAAAGATGGGGCTTTTTACTCCCATCAACAATGACAGTCTCAGAATCCCACAGAGGGTCGCTATGAGTCAGCATTGACTAGATGGTAGTGAGTGACTCCCCTTTGGTCTCTCCTTTCCACGCCCTTTCTCTCATTTTGGAGCCTCCTCACTTTAGCTCCAGTTCAGGCCTTCAGCGGATGCAGGTGGTCCCGGACTTAGGATGGGTGCCATTCCATTGACGTTGTCTTAAGTCAGCTCTGACATAAGACGAATACCTCTCTCTCTTTTAAAAGTTTTCAGTTTTTATCAGCTTGTACCTTTATAAATTTGATCTTTGAATAATTGCAAGTGAACATCTGAGAATGACAACATCAACAAATTGTATGTGGTAACATTGTATGTCGTACATATTACTAACCGTAAGATGTTAAAAAAAATAGTGTGGCTTGCCATATTTGAATACAGCCTAAGTCAGGGAATACCTGAACTAGCCCTTTCCAGTCATGCGAAGAGCAGCAGCATCTTGAAGTTGCTTTGGGGTCTTGAGTCCTGAGTTTGGACAGAAATCCTAAAGCGGTGTAAACAGTCAAGCACTCAGAGATTAACCAACAGGTTGGAGGTTTGCTTCAACTCAGAAGGACCTCGGAAGAAAGTGCTGGTTGTCTGCTTGTGAAAGATCACAGCCATTGAAGACCCAATGGAGCAGTTATACACTGACCCCGTGGGGTGCACCATGAGTCCGAATTAACTCAACGGTAACTGTTTTGGTCGGGCATAGAGTTTGAGTAGGATGCTAAACATCACTTTAGGGATGACGTCTGTCCTCCACTCGCCTAAGAAGTTCTACATCTACAGCACGGACGGTCTCTGTAATTGTGTTTTCATTTTCTATCATGGAACTCCACCCCATGACCAACGCTGACTGAACCTGGGGCTGAATGCCTGACACACAGGAAGCCAAAAGCATGATGCTGCCAATGACCTTTCAGATTCTGGGGAAATTGAACTGGGGAAAAAGAAAAAACAAAACACAGACACAGAATTAGGAGCTGAGTCACACTGGTGGAGCTATGTCTCGGAGCTGATGTTGTCCCCACCCTTCCTGCAGCCTTGTGGTTCTGCTTACCTTGCATTCTGTAAGAGCGGAATTCTTTCCCCAGATCCCCGTAACCTGAGCTGAGTTGAAAAGGTTCTTCTTTGTAGTAAAAAAGATACTGCCTACGACAGTCCCTTGTTAAACCTCTCAAGTAGTAAGAGTTTTATTGAATCAAGTAGTCATCAGACCTTTGCTGGAATACCACCGGAGATACAGGAATCTCACTACTCCTAAAGGCAACCCATTCACATTGTACAGTTCTACTTCTTAGAAATCCCTTCTGGAGAATGCATCCAAAGTTGCTGGAGCTAGGGCTCAGGGCCATCATCTCAGGGTACATGGCTGTCAATTGGCAGAGCGTACACCATAAAGACAGTGTTCTATGACCTTGGGGAGTAGCAACCAGGGTCTTTTTTTTTTAAATCCTTTTATTGGGAGCTCTTACAGAAACCATAACATTCCATAGTTCTATCACCTCAAGCAGTATTCTACATCAATTTCAAAACATTTTTCTTGGTCTTGGACTCCTTGATATCAGCTCCCCTAACCCCTCCCACCCTCCCCTCCCAGGAACCCCCTTTATTGGGCCACATCTTACACGTCCTACATATCCATTCACATACAACTCTGTAGTTTGACCCCACTGAGTGGAGTTATACAGTCATCGATGCTATCAGCTCCCTATCCTTCTTTTCCCCACTCTCTTCCCCATACCCTCAGGGAACC